GGAAAAGTCTGACGAAATAGTGTGATCATGTTTTCAACAAGGTAATGAACAAACAGCGGTAATTATGTAACTGGGGAAATTAATTTTTGAAAGTAAACTGCCTGAAAGTAACCTTGCTACCAGCGGACCCTTCGTCGGGAGCTCGTGGTTCTGCCATCATCGTTAGTTCTGGGAGATTCCGACTCGGCTGTTTCCATTTTGACGGTGGTGTTCAGCGTTTCCGGTTGCCTCACTTGGGTTCAGACTTGGCATCCATGGCGCCTGGTCCCACAAAAGCTGGCTCGATTCTGTCAATCCCGACCGTTTCTCACCTATCGGAGCGTTCGACCGCGACAACTTTGTCTGATTTGCTAATTACCTTGAAAGGTCCTTCATACGGGGGCTGTAAGAGTTTTCTCAGGCCGTCGTGCCGGATAAAACGTGAGTGCACTTTGAGATGCACTGAGGTACGTTCGCTGGGTTGCCTCGGTATCTTTGGGTCTGAGTTGGAAGTGTGCTCATGTGTCACCGTAGCTGTTGCACATAATCAGTAAAGTTCGGTGGAACGTCTGTTGCTGAGTCAAAATGCCCTCTCGGCAATCGCAAAGTAGTTCCATAGACTAACGCAGCAGTGCAACAGCCAATGTCCTGCTTGACACTCGAACGTATACCAAGGGGTACTAGTGGTAATTTGTCACTCCACTTGTCGCCGTTGATGGAACCTTTCAACAATACCATTGGATGCAGGATAGTAGAAAGTGGTCCTAATGCGCTTGATCCCGAGAAATTCGGTTAATTGTTGAAATAGACTACTGTCGAACTGAGCGCCTCTGTCTGTGGTGATGACACTTGGGACACCAAAGTTAGAAAGCCAGTGTTGGATGATATTTCTCACTACCGTTTCGGCAGATAAATCCTGCAGAGGTATTGCCATCTCGTAAATCTGTCCACATATGTTAAAATGTAGCTGAGACCATTTGACGGGGTAGTGGTCCAACAATATCAATGGTCAAATGGTCATATCTGCCATACGGCGCGGAAAATCTTCCAGCATGCGAAAGAATGGCTGACAGTAGTCTGGAATCTTTTCATTAGGAATGAATAAATACTGGAGAAGGTGGAAAACAAGTGCAAACGATAACGCAAAAATTTGGAAGTTATGAGTTGAAATACGTCGAGGCTGTCATCTGAAAAATCGCATTGCAAAGATAGTAGCGTATATATGATTTTACTAGCCAGTATAGTTCTGTTGGAGTAGATGCCATGTGACTGACTGTCATTCCTATTTGTTGTGAAGTGATTAGTTGGCCATAGGTAGGATAATAAGGACTGTGTCCTGGGTTCACAACCTGTTTCTAGTGGAAACAAACTTCAGGCAAAGCCATTGCCGTTGTGCTGCTTAGTGTCCCCTTTACCTCGCCAAACCAAAGGGGCCAATAGATGATATAGCAGCTACGGGTGTTGCGGGTGCTAGATGCCACGAAGACGGCGAGTGAAGCCTGCCACAGTACCAAGTAATGTTGTTCTCAGTTTCACTCGGACCTCGTGCCCATCACCTCACCCACTGGCCTACTACATAACGCTTTGGAGTTTGGGTGGACGGGTGCTGGATTCCGATCTCACCGAGAAAAGCACAATAAAATAACGCAGTGAATGAGAGGGATGAAAATTTATAAAACCCACCTCCTAACAGATTCCATAGGTTGCGCATTATCTCCTTCGGTTTGTGTTCCATCTAAATTGGAATTTTGAGGGCTTCATTGTGAACACGAAAATGGGGGCAGTTAAACATCTCTGCACTTTTGATAACTGGCACGTAAAGTGAGCTCCGGACCAGACGATCGGTCAGTAACTAACTTCACCATAGCTCGAATGCCAGGATGTGAAATGGCATGCATCTTAGGGGAGACTAGTCGTCTCACTGACAAGGGCACAAACGCATGCGGTTTACTCCTGGATGCATCACAGTTGATGGATAGGCAGTCATGAAGCACCACTTCTTCAGGACGTAATGAGGTGTTCACACCACTTTTCAAGTGTTTTGAGTCCTCATCCATCGCCTGCGACTGCCATTTCTGCTACGTCAGTATGGCCAGGTTCTAAGACATTCACGCACATACGAGACAAAGCATCGGCTGCCTCGTTTTTGCTGCCTTTGGCATATCTTGTATCTAAAGTGAATTCTAAATGTTGAACTTCTCGCAGGCATGTAGTTGTCATGGTTTGGGTCAATTGCTTTTGTGATTGGCTACGGTTGGTAAATGCTATAAATACATACCCTTCGAGCATATATCTGAAATGCTTGATAGCCAAGTAGATCGCCAGTAACCCTCTGTCGGATGCACTCTATCAAGATCGAAAAGCATTAAGCCGTCTCAAGAAGAAAGATAATGGTTCCCATTGACCGTGAACAAACTGCTGCAGTACTACCCCTACCACAACATATGAAGCGTCTGCCATGATTACTAGTGGTGCTTCTGAATCACGACGGGAGAGAAGGGTTTCAGAACTTAGAGCCGGCTGAAGTTTGCCAAAAGCATCATGGGCCTCTTGAGTTATGTGAAACACTTTGGCTCGTCCCTGTAACAAATCTGTCGGTGGTCGGGCGACTTCAGCACTTTTAGGTATGAAAGTTGGCTAGAAGTTTATTAACCCCAGTAGTATTCGCAGCTTTCGAAATGAGTCTAGAATCGGATATTCTCAAATTGCACCTACTTCTTGCGGAGCTGGTTTAACACCGTTGGCATTAACAATGTGCCCAAAAAACTGTGGGGATTCCTTATCAAATTCATCCTTCTGTAGATTGATTTTAATGCCACATTCACGCAGTCGTCCTAAAAGAGTCCTCAGATGCTGCAGGTGTTCTGTTTAAGATGCGCTACCACTACTAAGTCATCTATGTATGCACTGACGAAAGGTAAGCCACGAGGTACCTGATCTATAAATCCTTGGAATGTTTGAGCAGTATTTGTCAAGCCAAACGAGACACGAATAAATTTGAATAACCTGAAAGGGGTAGTGATGGCCGTCCTAGGAACGTCATTGGGCACCACAGGAACTTAGTAGTAAGCTCGCACGAGTTCAGCCTTGGGAAAAATATTTACCTTCGTCATGGAGTCCATAAAATCATGCATGTGAAGAACTGGATACTGACCAAGAACCGTGCGCTTATTTAACGCTCGATAATCACCATAAAGTCACATTTCACCTGTTGTTTTTTAGGTACCATAAGCAGAGGTGGTGACCATAAGTTCCTAGAAGGGCGTATAACTCCCAACCTCGGAAGTTTATCAACTTCCTGTTTCGCTATCTGCAGCTTTTCAGGGTCTAACTATAGAGATTGTGAAGAGACTGGAAGACCTTTTGTGAGAATATGGTGTGCTGTCGCTTGTTTCGGCGGAAACTTTATGTAATCCACTTGCACGAGCTCAAGAAATTTTCGCAGAAGGATATGGTACTGGGAAGTCCTGTCTGTTGGAGCTAAGACCTGGTTTATTGTTTTTATCTCCGTGACGATGCACGCGATATAAACTTCACTATTACGGCTGACTAGTCTATGGCGACTAGAGTCGACCAACAGTTCATAGTGTGGCAGGAAATCCATACCGATGATGGCGGCGATATGTCCGCGACGACAAATCCCCGCTGGAACAGTGTATGAAAGTCAATGTCTAGGATCAGAATTATGGTTCCGTATGTGGTGATAGCGGATCCACTTTCCTCTTGTAATAAAAAGGTCGTGTTGGGATGGTGTTTTTCGAAAAGTGTGGGTGGGACCACGCTCACTTATGCTCTAGTGTCAACCAGAAACTGCTCTCCGCTCCTCCTATCGGTCAGCCGAAAAGAACGACTGTGTTGTTGTACGCCGGCTACAGCAGCCGTCACTGATCTCTGGCCTTTCCGTTTCCCAACAGAAAGGTCTTAAAACCGCATGATAACAAACAACGACGTGCCTCACTGCCAAACCTCTTGTGATACCAGCACATGCTGCCTTTCGACGCAGTTCTACTCTTGGTTTTACTAGGACTGTGGGATCTACTTCTGTGGAACTTCGATGACTGTCGGTATAGCCGCAAAGTTATCAGTCATCCTGTAAGTGTGTCGATCTTCCCATTCAAAGCGGCCACTCGGCCATTTCGCACTGTCTCAGCAATACTTTCAACCCGTTTAGACATCCTTCCGTACACGGTCAGCGATGTCAGCCAGCCTGTCAATGGCAGTGTCCACATTTCCGACAGCCAATATCTGCTGAATACATAACGGAAGTCTCAGCAGCTATAGCTGGCGGAATAGGCGGTTGCCTACGTTCCCACCTTTCGACAGACTTTGTTTGTCGCTCAAGTTGTGAAGGTGTTCTGTCACCAAGGCGGGCGCTACTTAGTAGTTGATCGGCAGCTTTTTGGTCAGACGACGAAGTAGTTTTCATCACTCTTTGCTTAAAAACACCATAAGGTGTGTCTAGGTAAGGCTTTGATACCATCTTCCTTACTTGGTCAGTCGCTTCTTCCGGTAAGACCGAACTTGTGCATCCGAACTTTCTGTTTTGTGAAGTTATATGATTGGCCATGAAGAAATGTTCCAAAGGGACAAACCACAACTGTAGCTCACTAAAAGAAGGCAAAGGAGAAACAATGACACCCACAGACCCTACACTCAAAAAGTTCTGATTATAAGAGTTTAAAGACGTCAGCACTGGTACAACAAAAATTCAGTGTTAAGAACTTAAAATAACAACAGCAGAAGAAATACAATAAATTAGTTTGTTAATGCCTACCATACAGCAGCTAGAGAAATTCTCAGCATATATATCCGTATTGCGTACAGTTATTAGTGGTTCCAGTACTCACTTGAAAACAACAATATGATCCACCAGTAAAACTTGCAAGAGTTTAATCGCGTCGGGTCCATTAGTTTGTTGAGCTTCCAAATGTGACTCTAAAGTTATGTACGCGTTCAGACACACTATCGCCTGTTTATTATTCCTGTATTGTGAAGTAGGAAGTTTGTTTTAACGCATCACATTTCAATCTATTATAGCAACATCTCTGTGACAAGAATAAAATGACGAACAATTCATTGTGGTGTAGAATAATTTCAGGTCAATATTTCGTAGTGTTTAGTTTCATATGAAATGTTTTCTGCTTTTTGAAACCTATTAAGCTTTTCTGGCTTGAAATGAAACGAGTTAGATCGATATACGACTGTGTATCCCACGGAGCAATTCTGGGTTCCTTGTTGTTTTTACTTTTCTTGAATGATCTCCCGCTGCATATCAGCTACCTGATTTTCGTCTGCACTGAAGAAGACAAGTTATGGAGGGCAGCAACTTGCGAGACCGAATGAAGTGTACTACAAGACGACTTCGAAACACTCAAACAGTGGGCGAAATTTAATGGATCAGCATTTAATCTAGATAGATGCCGGTCCTTGTTCTTACGCTTACCTGATCCACAGAAAGTACCAGACTATCTATGGCTCACATCTTCCTCATACTGCGGAGGAGAAAGACCTGGGTTTAATAGTAACGGGGAGACTAGATACCAGTCCCAATAACCTAGGAGATGCCTCAAAAGCATAGTCAGTACTACACCTTGTGCATAAACAACTAGATAAAACTCTACAAGACCTACATATGACCCCAACTGGAGCTCCATAACGTTTTCGCTCCACTACACTTCCTAGAGAAGTTTCAGAGGCAAGCTATAAAGGCTGTTGTAGGGGTGCAACGAAAACCGTATAAGGATAGACTGAAAGACCTAGGCCTATTCTCTCTTATTTACACAAGGTTACGAGATAATTTGATAATGGTCCACAAGATACTACATATTCCAAGTCTCCTGAACGAAGAAATACTGCCAAGTGACAACTATGGTGATCCCCATGGAAGCCAAAAGAGAATTTCCCACCAAAGGTCAAAAACTCGTGTGCGTTCACACTTCTTCTCCCTTCGAGTCTGCATTACCATCATAAGTAGTATTCGTTTCATCTGTTGAAATTTTCAAGAAAGCGGTAGACAGTTACACAGAGACCCATGTTTTACTCTCATCTAATCGGAACACGAAGTAGACCAAAAAAATCAACTCCTATCACACCACTCCAACTGTGTTACTTCCACACCAGTTTCCTTCCCATTGTTACCACTTAACCCTTTTTATTCCTCTTACTTGCTGTGAATTAGCACCACCTACCTAAGTTCTACATATATTTGCACCCCTCTCATCTTACTCTGGTGTAAGTAGATTACTCTATCAGCTCACTTTTCTGTGTCTTTCACTCACACACATTTGTCTTCTCAGGTTATGTCTTCAATATCCCGAAATTTCTCTAACGGCCAGTTCTAACAAGTGCTTAGCAACTCGACATCTGAAGAACCCAACTACACCACAGTTTCAGGCAAACTGACCGACACAACCTGCTGTTCTATATGCCAGAGCTATAGCAGGCGAGTGGCTGGATCTGCTGCATCAGAATCCACCAAAGACCTGGAACCATTACACAAGACCGAGGAGAGAGCACGGAGAAATCAACTGGTTTACACAAGCTCGCTAAACAGATATTGAATATCAAAGGTTTGGAAAGTAGGAGAAATGTCTACAAAAGCTATGTCGCAAACAGTACGGTAAAGTGTTGCTTTCTATGCCAACCGTAATGGCTTTTTTAAATGCTGTTTCTGAGATATTGACACAATGTTAGTGAGACGTATGGGTTTTTAGTATGATAAATACCGCTTAGTTACTACCCTTTGGATAGCTACCCAAAAAGTAGGAAGGATGCCTTTACAGACAGACAGTCTAGTTACAACAGTTAACAGGCTATCTACAAAGCCCGCAAAATTAGGTGTAGATAGTGCGGTTCCGTTGATTTATCCAGGTCTCAAGTACTCGCTATCCAAACATATCACTGCAACCGATATCCACAAGGTCCATTCTGCTGAATTTCAGCGCTTTCATTGTTGAACTCGTGTTCATAATAGGTTCTTTGATACAGGACCCAACAAAATATCTGCAAATAGCTTCTGCTTCTTTTTGTCACCTTCAGTTAGCTGATTAATTCTTATTTCTTCTATTAAGGTGGGGACAACGTGGTACGTTTTATTCTTGCTGTTCACACAAGAAAATAACCTCCTTGGGATGCTCAGCTGGAGCGTAAATTGGGACACGTTCCAGGTCATATTCAGAAGTGGCGGGTAATAGCCATATATTTACTTCAAGTTCCTTTGTTATGCTTCTTCTTTCTCAACAGCATCACCATTAATGACAAGACTTCAGCACGTTTTTATCGTCATAATAGACTTCAGACTTTTTGATTTATCCAGGGAGGTTAGTAATTTCCTTTTTTAGGGATAGTGCAAAAAATGAACTTTCGAGCTACTCGAGCATTCAGGTGTTTGTAGAAGGACCGTGCAGCCCCAAGTGAGGCTTTTGGATTGACTGTTAAGTCCTCCAAAGATACTGCCAATTTAATAGCTTCCACGTTCACCTTTCACGCACTGGGTCCAGCTGGGATGTTGGCCTATCACAACACTGCTGTCGCTATTCTAAAGATGATCACAGCTTTTATTAGGAAGTACAAGGTGCCAGGTGAGGCTTGCATATGTCAAAGAGTAAAATGTCTGAAAATTATGGAGTGTGCTGATAATCTTGTTGAGTTGTTGTCATGATGTGTTGCATAACAGCAAAGAAAAATGACATTTCGACTGGTCTATGATCAAGCAAATTACTTGATACTCTGTTGTTAAACTGCGCTCATTGACTGACAGTGCTTCCAGGCCTCCTAAAACCAGTCACATGCATTAATTTGTCAACTTATTCAGGAGAAAGTCCTCCGCCTTGCATTCAAGTTTACGATATGTTACAACTAGGTCAGCGTCACGCCCTTTGCACTTCAGTAAGCAAACTGGTGTTCCCCGTGTTTCATTTCCGTGTGCAGCCATTTCTATGGCTCTTAAAGTTGAGATTCACTTGGCGTAAAGGATAAAAGCACTACTTCTGCCTCCTTGTTTATTGCTTAGAAAGAAGTACTGCCTTGTAAATATGCTCCAATATAACTGATCCCTCAAGAGGGCATGTTTTTGCGACAACAGTTATATTGCAGCTTTCTGTCCCTATTACATTTCTTTGCTTGATCCACTTAATCAAGAGTCTTCTTGCATTGATATATATATATATATATATATATATATATATATATATATATATATATATATATAACAGAACCATCTAAGTGAGTTTTCTTTCTACCATAGGGCTTTGACATCACTTGTTTTTAAGCCTGACTATAAGAACCCACCATTTTTTATTCTTTCCCTCTGCTGAAAATTGGAACTTCAATTCCTCCTCCGCTTCTTGTTAACTGATCTGATCAAAGATAAATCCCTACACAGAAGTAACTTATTTCCTCTAAGGTTTTGAGTATTCCCTAAAATAATGCCTCTATTCTCTTCTGATTTAGACATAACTTTAAGCATTTGAAATGTCTTACCTGCTTTTATATTTTACATATTTTTGGCAGAGTGACACCTTGTATGTTTTTGGAGATATCTTTTCAACTAGACTTTGGAGTTCAGTAATGTTATTTTCAAAATAGTCTCGAAGTTGCGGGTCCCTACTTTCTTCAACCCTGTGGAAGTTCATGGAATTTTCACAAAGTACTAATTCGTCCTTTCTCTTTTGATTGATGGCAGTTGACTCTAAGATTACTATCGGCTTCTTGTTGTGCCGCCTGTTTTTGACTAAATTATATCTCTCAGATTAACTGCATATGGAAGGCTGACTAATGCTCAGCTAAATAACTTTAACACTGATAGTCTCATGTTGGAACTTCATCCCCTTTGAGCACGCATTTTCATGAATTGGGTCTCTAAACTGGATAGGACATGTAACTCATATACTCTCTTAAAAGGCACTAACGGTGCTACCGATTCGTTTCTTCCATCAGAAGCTGACCTGGTCTTATGTTTCACAGCTTTCAGTCTAGATATTATAGTTCTGGGGATATGAGAACCTTAAGATACTCGCTTAGCATTGGATGCTGCACAGCGACCTGTGAATAAGCAGGTACAGTGTCGTCACTGCTAACAATATCATTATCTTTTCTTCTGGACAATAACTTCTTCAAGCTGGTATTCAAAAGCAATTTAGATCCTTCAATGAATCCTCAAATATCTGAGGCAAAACAAAATACCCCCTGTATTGTTGTACTTTATGCATACTGTAGGTGGAAGTGCATACTGTTATCATGGTACCACCTTCTATACTCATTACACTGCCTATCACAGGCGACTGCAAAGTGGTACTGTGGTCTACCACAGGCATTTCCGTGACACCATGGGTTTATCTAGCGAAGGTTTAAGTTGAACTTGATATCAGCAAAACCGACACTAATGCAATTCTAAAAAGTTATAAGTCTGGTAAGAAAAACCAAACAGAGTATTCATAAAAGAGATAAACGTCTGCAAAATGTAAAAAGTTTCTTGCGCTGATAAGTAAGCACTTAACACCAGTCGGTGAACAACTATGAAAAAAATACCCAGGAAAGTTTCTGTGACTTTTCAGCTAACAATCATTTCGATTAAAGCAAAAAATACCTGAATTTGGTGCGTGAACTGGAGAATGCTAAAAATTCAGCTGAATGTGAAAACATCACTTCATTTTCAAAGATAATACAGGCATATTATTAAGGTAATCCCAAGAAGCAAACACAGCCGTAGTGTACAGATTTACAACCTTAAGCTTATCTTTGACCCCACATATACCCAACACTAATGCTATGTTGGTCTTGGCTTACCACATTTATTATAGTTGAGGATAGAAAATACCAGCTCAACATTAAAATTATACAGGCCCAAGGTTCATTTTGTGATAATCCGTAGTTAGAGTTGTTCAGCTGTAGACTGAATGCCTTGTTTGCATTCCAACACACTTGCTTGTCATCCTTACACTAAGTTTAAAACGAAAGTTAGGAGTTAAATTGTCCTCAGCAAATTAAAATTTGCAATGTTTACAAAGCATCTTAAATAAATGAACCTTTTTAATTAGGTTATTTAGCTGCACACATCTGCAAACTATGCTGTAATTTCCCGGTGAATTCAGCATCTGTCCAAAGCTCCATGCATGCTTACATCTGAAAGTTGCGTAGAAACAAAAATTTTTTATCGTTAAGGTATGAACTTTTAACAACTTTCATCTTTGCAACAACTGGAATAGTCTCACAAAAATCTTAGAGGGATGATTCTGTGTTTATCCGACGCTTCTATCAACGTTTATGAAGGTCAAATTTTCTACTCTTCTTAGGTTCCTAATTTCATCCAGTGACGCATGATTTGATCACTTATACATGCATCGATTTTTGGTCTCTGAATGATAACGCCCAATACAAGTACACTTTGGTTGTCTTTGATGTTAATACAGTCTGTAATACAGTGTAAGGTAGCTACAATCAAACTGAGGTCTCGTAATAGTATGCATCGATTGTTGGATGTTTACAGTCATTTTCTTGTGAATTTGAATACGAATTTCTTGCCTCACTAGGTGGACCGCTGTTCATTATGTATCATCTAACTATCTGAGGTAACCGTAGTTTGGGAGACAAGTACTTATTGTGTATTCATTGTGTATTAATATACTATAAACAAAAATTGCCAAGTGTTTGTGTTTCATTTTGGCTATAGAGTCTGCATCGATCTCTAACCCCGCTAAAAATCACATCTCAGCTTATCAATAGCCTCCATTAAATCGGTTGAAGAGTTTACAGTAGTTTCTTGTCGGCCTGGTGGTGAAACCTACCAAGGATAAGAACCTGTCGTTTGAAAATGATTCCGCCGTAAATGATATTCGAAGAGTATCTTTAAACTTATAGATATTTCCCAACGGAAAACATTCATTCACGTAAAACACTAACGTTCCTTTAAAAAGTTATGTGCTTCCTTGATGGTAACAATGTTTTGAACCCTTATTATGACCTTTCCGAATGCATTTTGTAATACTGTCTGGACAGCCAATAGAGAGTTTGCATCGCGTACAGCAGAAATAACTTCATTACCAGATTTCATCAATATGTCATTCTGTATCAATATATCCAGTCCCAAAATAGTGTCGTCTAGATACTTCAGTGTGTTATTTAGTTTTGGCAGCCCCCTATAAAGTTTTTTTCACCTGTTAACTGTACTCTAAGATGGCTCTTCCTATCAAACAAACACTACAATGGTATCAACTTACAGCGGATCCGTTATATAATTTATTGTTATCATTACTATCATTATCATTAGTTTGCAGTACTGGAAATTCTGCAAGAAGTGAACACTACGGAAGTATCTGAGTATGAAAGAAACCAGAAGCTTGCTGTATGATCATTGATTCAAAATGTGTACCGTTACTTGGTTAAGCAAATGACGTACTTCAAACTAAAAAATCATATATATTGTCACTAAACTGCCATTAGGGGGTGATTTTGTACACTTCAACATTACTTGGTTGGAGACAATTTGCAGGAAGCCCTAGACACAGGTTTCACACTGTTTGACACTCGTCACCAAGGTGTATGTGCAACCTCTATGGAAGTAATGTTATCTCTGCGACTGGATACCACGCCACTCAGTATTTTAGTAAGTGATGATACTTTTCAACTATTCTGGTCACGATCAACCTCGTGTTGGACTTGACTACATACATTCATTGGTCACTGGAGAGCACTCAGTCTCATACTATCTAGTCTTCTGGAGGGATGATAGAATCCAATCTATCATTTTGCAATGTAACCACCAAGCTAGGAGGCTCCACTGTCGCAGTACACTTTGATGGATGTTAGTTGGTAGGAGGTAATCGGCTGGAAGCCCTGGACTTAGGTTCCGTACTTGTTGTCACCCGTCAGCAAAGTATATCTGTGTATCTTCAACATTAACTGAAAATCAATTTAACTGAACTAAATATCGAAGTTACTGTTGAATTTCAAACGCCTGTTCCCGATGTACTAACATTTCAGTTAAATCATCTATACTACTTACAACTTACTAGTATTAACCGGCCTAGTTTGTCAATGAGTGATCTTTTTCAAGGTAGTTTACATCATGAATAGATACGAATGGAAAGCCTTTGAAGACAGAAACTCATAACCCAATACTAGTCTAAGATTAGAAGTAAATTCAATGCACGATTCTGAAATGTGATATTGATTCATTTATCTGAAAACAGATCAACACTAATTTCTATTTTTAACCGCATTTGTGATAGTGAAATCCAACCATATGATAAGATGGTTGTCCTAACCTGACTTGTGTACAGATGTTCAATTTTTGTCAACTGTAAATCTACATTCTCCATCCAAGAATCATCATGACACTATACATAACTGAATCCTTTTTGATGTTTGTCCATTGTTCATAATGAAACATTGTTTTTGTGTATTTGAACCATCAGGCAGGAAATCTGTAGTTAAGTATATGATGATTATGAATTGATGATGTAGAGTTAATGGATGAGTTGAGTGATTAATTTACAAGTTATTTGGAAAACATATGATCCACACGGACACTTCTAACAGGTGAGTAGTTTTTAAGCTTACCAACTGTAGTGTCAACAACCAGGACAACAAATTATAATCTTTGACAGAAAATTGACATGATGTGATGAAATATGCTACTGAACAACATGGATAGTAGCAATCAGAAACCAGTCAGTGTAATCTACAGCTTTCACTGGATAGATCACAGTGATATAAAAGCAAGATGGCTGTTTTGCTAACTTAAGGCCAAGCTCATCAGTAGTGTATCTAGATGAATTCAGATAACACGGCCTGAGTGATTCTTAACTACTCATTCTGTTCAATGGCATATTAGGTTAGTCACCGCTCAACATGAACTTCTATCAATCCACATAAAGCATTTCTTCATGTAATTATCTATACTTACTTGTATCAACTAAGGAATTAGCACTGGTATCTGAAACTGCTTGCTGAGTACTACAAATTTTCGACAAAGATCCCTCATGTGATACAGATAATAATCAATCCTATATAACGTAGACGTATTTACTACTTGTCTTACCATGATAATTACATGTTTTTCTTTCCAACTCCTCTCTGTCTTCTTTTATACTTTGTCTTATTGAATTCAATTTTCTGGAGTGTCACCACAACAGAGAAAACTAAATAAATTCTTTGCTTATTCAGTTTCAGCCTTTCAGACATCCAATGCAATAATTTAGACATTAATTTCCGCTCAAAAATGATATTATATGTTCAGTATAGTGATAAATAAATTAAGACTTTCCAATCTTCAATTTTAGATTTTGAATTGCAAAAACATGGCCTCACTCCTGAAGAAGTGACTCAAATACACTTTCAAATATTGATACACTTTACACACCTGAAGTAATCTGTGTTCATATTTTAATTGCGTAAATATATTTCATCTTTTCCAAAAAAAATTTATTGAATTCACTTAAATTACCAAGTGGAAAATTATTGGAAGATGATCAACAAACTCTAGATGAAGATTTTATGAAACCAAATTCAAATTATGCAAAATCATGTAAGTAAGACATTGTTGTAGTGGTAGTTGACGGTCTGATTTGGGTTAGAGTCGATTTGTTTGCGAGTTAGGTTCATATCGTTCATAGTCTGCTAGGCTCACATCACTTGTAGAGTGCTGGGTCCCACTACCAGTCATAGTAAAATTGGCGACGGGCATGGTATGGGCTTCTGGACCTTGGTCGGCTATTCTGTTTACAGTACGCATCCTTGTGTCCAATAGTATGGCATTGTTGGCGTTTATGATGTCTGAACGGAAACGATTTTACGTAGTGCCAAGCGCCTCAGTAACAGCATGCTCCGGGCGGTTTCTGATGCGGTGAGTTCGACGTCGACGGTACTGGATTCACCTCATGTACTTCTGCTGCACTCTAACTGACGGACTAGACCAAGTTGGCATCTTTACGAAGGTTGCTTAGTCTCTGATACTTTTCTCCAATATCTTTCAATGTCATTTGTGGGTCCTACTCTAATCTATTTAACGGGTGTGTTCGTATATTGGCGAATAGTGGGGAATGTAGCCCTCAAACAAAGATTAAGACTTTAAAATGGTCTTCTGATAGTGACTTCAACTTGAAGCGTTCACAGGTATGGGTGACTATTCCTAAATGCATGTGAATATCGTCGTTTTCGTTCAATACCAGCTTCATACTGTGGTAATGTATGTTAAACAACGACCTGTGGTCACCAAACTGATGACGAAGTATCTGCACAGTCTCCACAAACGTTTTATCATTGGGTTTCTGTGGCAGGATCAAATTGCAATAATTATCTAATTCGTCCACTCCCAACTTCCGAAGCAACAGTTTTGTATTGTTTTGGTGGTGCTAGAGTTTTAATTTGCTTTAGAGTCGATTTGTTGCTCGTTGGTTCGCATCGTTCATAGTCTGCTAGGCTCGTATCGCTCATAGACTGTGAGGTCATACTACCGGTCAAAGCAAAACATACACGGGAATATATTGTCAATTAATGGTGAATACTACTTCTTAATTGACCACAGCTAAGGATTTATGTCAAACTGAGAGCGATGCTCATCCTAAGGAAACCTGGAGTGATATTCAGTCTGTTATAGAAACAGTTGTAAAGACATTAATATCAACTATGATCAAAATTTCATTGAATAGTATCTCAAATATTGGACGCTAAATAAAAGTTTGACATCGGATATAGTTTGCATTTTTGTAAGTCACAGAGTGTTTGAAATGAAATGAAATAATTTTAACGTTTCTCACGGAAGTCTGGTTAGAGCTTCTTCAAGAAAATAATCAAAAATAAAAATATTAAAGATTTATAAATTAAATCTTGAGGTGAATGGAAATTTTAATTTTAAGGTATATTCATCACGGACTGACAACAGTTACAAAACCATAGGAAGACCGGGAGTACTCAGCAGCTGTTTCATCCTAGTGCGAGAATTCTCGACTGTAGGCATCTCTGACTTGGCTAGGGATCGAACTCGGGGCCTTCAAGTTTCATGGCGAACGCTTCAAACATTCAGTCGCTGAGTCAGGGTTCAACGGTTTACAGTTTGCCTAGCTGAGTCATGAGTGCGTACTGTTGAGGAGTCCCGTACTAGGATGAAACAGATGTACAGTTCTCCCAGGTTTTCACTGGTTCTCCAACGATATCTGTTCATGATGAATACTACCTCAATACATAAATAAATCCCAAGATCTGTACTTAGTCTCCTTGTCCAGTCTTCTTCATATAGTCATTGTCTTTTTAAAATATGATTACTAATCATTCAGTGTGAAATTATATTTCTCTTGTTGTTTGGTTTGTGTGTTATTTGTCATTCATATTTTCCTTGAATTTTTATTGGTTTTTTCGAAGTAGACTGGAAATGAATAGTAGTAATGATGAAGGTGACGATAGTATTAATAATGAATCAAATCAATCCAGATTGTACGTTGTTGCTGATGCATAGTTGAGACTGGTGTTGAAAGTAAATGTTAGAGTCACTCTTTCTGCATAATAATTGGCAATTATCCAAAAGCAGCTAACTGTACTCCATCTTGTCTGTTCAAACTGTCTGGATTTACCCAAATACGTAAAACTTCAGCCATCAATCTTTCTGAGTATGACCCAGAACCTTTTGTAGAACCTTGGTTCCGTCAAAATTAATTTTGTGATCCATTTTAATAAAGTGGAACACGAATACCTATTTGTTTTATAGCTTATTAGCCTTTACTGAGGTTTTTGGAATCTGTTTTAGGCATAATCTATACTCCTTCATTCTTACATTTACCCGCCTGACTGTGTCGCCCAAATATACTGCAGTACAATCAGTACATTTGATTTCGTCAACGCAGTTCTGTTGATTTTCTTTAGGTACTACATCTTTCACTTTGATTAAGCTAGAGCGTGAGGAATTTATCGCATGAAAATTAACTCTTATGTCATATTTGTTGAGAATCCTTCTTATTTCTTCCAGGTCTCCTTATGGTATAAGATTATGACCGTACTTATCTGTTTCTGTGGAGGAAGTTTTCGTAAATCCTTAATTTTGTTTTAAAAAGTTCTTTTTTAGAAGTCTTGGGAATAGTTATTTGCTTTTTTATTATTTTTTATTATTAGTCCTTTGAGTTCCTAATGGAACATAGGGCTTTAGTAGCATGTCTCCAGTGAACTCTCTTCTCTGAAATCTTTTGAACCTGGCTCCACGACTGCCCACAACCTCTCATTTCCTCCTCGCACGATCTCCTCCATGTCACCCTCGGCACCGATGTCCAGCTCGTCGCTTCCCATCTCGGTTCCACTCGACGACCTGGCCTGACGCGTGATGTCCGCCGTCGGCCTTCTCAGTGCATGCCCAATCCATCTACACTTCCTTCCAGTGCATATTTGTTGGGTGATAGGTTCTTGGTTGGTTCGTTCCCAGAGCTCCTTGTTGCTTATTCTGGTTATTCTGGCCATCTGATCTTCAGTAACGAGCCAGCGTAAGCAGTTGTTGATGAATGTCTGTAGTTTATTGTAAATCCCTTTCGTAACGCGCCAAGTCTCTGAACCATACAGAAGCACTGACTCGACGTTGGTGTTGGTGTTGAAAATCCGGATCTTGTTCCACATGCTGAGTGCAGAAGATCTCCACACTGGTTTCAGGCTAATGAACGCTTGTCTTGCTTTACCGATTCTGACTTTGACATCCTCGTCTGTTCCACCTGTAGTTGAAACAGTGCTGCCTACATAGGTGAAGGAGGTTACTTCCTTCAAGTTTCTCCTGCTGATAGTGATTGGAGTTTGTTGGTGGTGGTGGTGTTGTTGGTTGGGAATCTTCAACACCTCTGTCTTCTCTATACTCACTTCACTTGAAGTCCCGTCTCCGCTGTCCTGCCTCTTATGTCAACTTGTTAGTTTTCGCCTGTACATCTTCAAGTTTGTGTGGCATAAGACACAAGTCATCGTTGGCGAAATACAAATCTTCTAGGTTCTTTCCCATGGTCCAGCGTATCCCCCTCTTCTCACTCCTCACTGCTTTTTGCATGATCCAGTCCACTACAAACACGAAGATCATGGGTGATAGTAGACAGTCTTGTTTTACTCCTGTCCTCACTTCGAAGGCATCACTGAGCTTCCCATTGTGAATTACTCAGCATGTGGCGTCTTCATATAGTTGTTGAATGAGATTGATAAAGGTTTGCGGTGTTCCGTAGTGTTGAAGCAGCTGCCAAATTACTTCTTGGTTGACGCTGTCGAAGGTCTTTTCAAAGTCGATGAAGCTGAGTTAGAGGGTTGACTGCCATTCTATACTCTGTTTTATGATGATGTGAAGCGTTCCAATTCGATCTGTGTTGTATCCTTTTGAAATAAAATATAATTCCCCCAAGCTTTTAAATATTATCTTCACCATTTATTCATCAAGCTAGATAACTTTGTCTACACTTACTACATGAAAACAAGGACCATTTTCAATCCATGGTTTGGTGATTTCATCATTATTATTATGGTTATTGCTTGTATTATACCGTCGCTGATTGGACCGAATTAATCCGTCTATATTGGCGTATGGGCTCCTGTGCGGATGCCTTGATATATCTGTGTTCTACTTATGGTAAAGATGGATAGTGGCTAGCAGTGGAATCCAGAATGCGCATTTCGCCCTAGTTGGGACTCGCCAGCTGGATGTACCTGCTTCCCAGTGGGTCACGTTTTTCCCACCGGTGGTGTAGTGGATAACCCTCTGGCGTTTGAAGCGATCGCTCCCGAGTCCGAATCCCGGTGGGAACAACACCACTCACTAGGAACCAGTCACATCAAGCTGATGAGTCCCAAATAGGACGAAGCGCGCGTCCTGGATCCCACTGCTAGCTACTCTCCATCTTTACCATTATTATTATTTATTATTGATGGATAGTGGCTAGCAGTGGAATTCAGGACGCACGTTTCGCCCTGTTTCTGACTCGTCAGCCGGATTTACCTGCCTCCCATTGGGCGATGTTGTTTCGATAAAGACTCGAAATAGAAAACTGATTATCTCAAACGCCAGAGCGTTATCTACTAGATCACCGAGTCATGATAACCACTTCTTGGGTGATGAGCATAGTTTTAATGTTGTTACTTTTGTTATACACTTTGAACTATGCCCGTTGCACAAGAAGTGGCTGTCGTGACTCGGTGATCTAGTGGATAACTCTCTGGCGTCTGAGCCAGTCGGTCCCAAGTTCGACACCTGGTCGGAACAACATCACTCACTGGGAAGCAAGTACATCCGGCTGACGAGTCCTAAAGTGGATGAAGTGTGTGTCCTGTATTTCGCTGCTAGCCACCATCTATCACCGATATATACAATTCAGACACAGGCAATATCGAGGCATCTGCTCACGAGCCCATATACCAATAGAGACCGACTAATTCAGTCCACAAGACAATACAAGCAACACGATCATCATTATTATTTTCCTCCTAAGCTACAAAACTCAACTTTATACTTCACTATTTACATAACTAACTTTTTCCTTGTAGGCGGTCCAAGTGAGTACTTAAAGCGTTACATATTTCCTTGTCTACTACCCGCCATGGAAGAAATGCTTAGACAAGCAAAACAAGGACGTTGCTTTGAGGTAAACATTTTGATAAATTCAAACTACTGAATACCACTAATTAAGTAGTCAAATTTTAAAATGGATAAGTTTTCTCGAAATGTTTTTTAATGTTCGTCACAGGTTGGTGGTTAGAACTTGAGTTAGGAAGTTAAGCGACACTAAAAAGTGATGTAGTTAGTAAATACTTGGATCCTGGCTCGGACAGTGGTAATCAGTAAGAGCTTTCTTCCACTACGTCTCCTGTTTTGTCTGCGGTGTCTCGTCCCAATTTCTTTTTTATAATTACTGTGACTACGGTTTTTTTGCTAATGTTTGCTGGTGAAATATTAAGTGCTTCCAACTCATTTCTACCATCTTTTGGTGAAATAGAAATCCTATAAACTTCAATTATTCGAGGCATTACCCTAGGATACTTACTGCATAGCGGTGATAAATTGATCACCAGTGAGTAATCTATCTACCTATTTAGTACTTCATGTTCAGCGCTGATCAACTTGTTATACAAGCTAAGTAACACAATACTGCAGTGCACTGTATGTTGGAGTTAAACACTGACAATTGTTTATCAGGAAGCTGTGGTTGACTTGATTTAGGTTTCATGGTTGTTAGGAATCATCAACAAAATATACTTGGAACCCAGAGGAAACTGGTGTTCTCTGGAGTCCTAAGCCTTCATCACCCAGGGATTAAGTCACATTTTTAATTTAAAAGTCGTTCAGACACCAGTATGACTTGGTGAAATATGCCGACAAGCAAGAAAACTAGATCAGACATGACTTCCTACCAGTTTACTCTCAATCCCCAAAATAAAAATATAGGTGAATACTACTGGCTGCTGGATGAAGGCCCTGACGCAATGTTGGACCTTCTGGGAGCACTGAGTAGAAATCTAAGTATGTATGGTATGAACCTCGCACTATTCAAGTGTAAGACTATGACAAAGGACTACTGGTCTTCAACTACTCCCAGCCAGCCAGAACTGGCTAGTCGCTGAAGATACAGAAAGGTCGTTTGACGTTTGCCAACTTGCATCATCTGTGGAGCCGAATTCTGAGATATCCTACTTTCTATCAGAGGAAGACCATACTGTGCTGAAGTCTGTTTTATCCTGTTGTATGACGAAGACATGGCAGCTGAAAGTAGTACACGAAGAGATTTCGGGGTTTTGATCATAGATGTCTTCGTAGCATTGCTCACTTTCGATGGAATCACTGTATGAACAAACTTGTGATAAGCCAAAGGGTACTAGGCAAGAAAGGCTGGCAAGTCGATTGATGAGGTTGTGAATCTTCGTCGACTGGGATGGCTTGGGCATGTACTGAGGATACCAAGCCCCTACCTACCTCTATGCACCACACAATTTGAGCCGTACACCTGTGTGCGAGGTTCTACGTTGATTCTGTCAGTTATTCAGTCTACCTCAGTCCTCTTTTCAAAATTAAATATCTCATAGCATTGCCTGCAACAGGTTTCTATCTAAAATCCTGATTTTGATTTCAGTACGTGTTACAGAAACACCAGTTCTGAGAATAGGCTATTGTTTCAATTCGTCAACCATTGACAAGTAGCAAAGAAGACAGTTCCTGTTAATGAAATCTAGAAATTTTGATTCGAACTTTTACTAAGCCATTTTGCCTGACTTCTGCTGTCAATCTCCTGAACAAGAAAGCATAATTCAAAGTGCTTACTGAACACTGTAGTGTTTTTAGCTGTAGGTGGTAATTATTGTCTAAACTTATCATTCTTGGACACAACTATCTGTCTTCTATCTCTTAAACCACTTTATCTTCAATTTAAAGCTTCATATTCTAGTCTTATTTCTTATGACTGAACTCATTCAACAAGAAATCTGCTCTGACTAAACAGCCGTATAACACGGAAGCTGATAAAAGTGTGTATCTGTCACGCTTAAACTCACTATCTGGCTTGATCCTAGCAACTGTATAGCACTCGTAATAGGTAGTCTTAAGTAGACAAATATAATAATCCCTATTTTCTATCAAGCTGACAAGAACAAACGAAAAGTATCAAAGGATCTTAGATGCCTTGAAAAGTGACAGGTGTACATGTGTCTGGAAAGCATTTAATCATCTTCGAAAGGCAAGATTCTGGAATATTATCCTTCGAAGAGATGCATATCCAAAGGTTTTGGGATTTGGCAATTCATAACGACCTACTCAGTTCATATGTCTGCAATCAAGTTCATTCAGTCTACTTTACTAATCCTATGAACAATCCGTATCTATTGCTCGTAACTCCAAGCAGTTGCTTGCCAAATCTAACTACATTCAAAGTTAGAACTGAAATTAGGACTAATGATGTTTATGATGAAAAGCTGTTCACTAAAATGATAACTTTGGGTTTTTAAGGTAGTACTCATCATGGACTGATTCCAGATGTGGAACTACTGAAAGCTTAAGAGCACCGGACAGTTGTTTCGTTCTAGTTTGGGACCGCGCAGCAGCTTGCACCCATCCCCCTACGAAGGCTCAAACTTAGGGCCTTCAGGTATCATGGCAACCAAGTTGCTATTCAGCGATTCGCGTTTTCATACTTATTTGAATTCATAATACGTCACAGTTATCATCAAAATGCTACCGCTGAGTATTTGCTAATCACCTTTATATATGTAAGTTTAATCAAACTGTCACTCCTGGATGTACTTGTTGCAGGTTACATTCATAAAATAAGGTAGTTCTGCATCGTCTAACTAAATATTGATTGAAACTGTAAAGGTATTTGCCCTAAAGTGTCCAGTGGTTCAGTGGTAGGAGTGGGACAATCTTGAAACGGTTCTTTTAGTCCCATGCATACCGCAAGAAATCGTGGAAAGAAGAAATTAAAGCTTATGGGAAGTAGTGGAGCCAGGTTAAAAAGACTGCAGAGAACAGAGTGAAATGGCGACGTGCTACTGACGCCCTATGTTTCACTAGGAACCAAATGAACAAATAATTATAATAATGATGAGAAAAAATATCACAAGAGAAGGCTCTAAAGCAGAATTGTCAAAATTAATTGATTTTCAATAGAAAGCAAACTAGTCACAAAAGTTGAGTAGACACTTTTTCTATTCATTTTTGCAAAACAGGTACTCAGGATGTTAGTGTAAAACCTGAAAGCTTTTTAATTGTACGGTACAGAAATCTATCACTATTCACGAGAAAAATAGTGCCAGTTTATAGTTTTCAGTCTTGACGTGAACATTATTAATGAACCATATTACTTACTATGCGTGACTTTAAAGACTACCCTAACCAATCACGGTTCTCTGTTGTATGAAAAAATAACTTACCGCCTGAAGTACAGAAACATGATTAGTTTTTTAGCAGCTGCTAGAGTGACCTTTAAAGTCAATCAATACCAAGTATTGTATAATTGAGATGCGCTCAAGGTCACAGCCTCCTTCCTCAGTTCAAAGCCTGATGAATAGCAACCTATTCTCTGATGATTGGTCAACTTTTCTGTCCAATAAACGATTGACTTTAATCTCACTGACCTTTCAAGGTCATGTATTCATTCACTCGTGCACAAATTATCATGCATTGACAGTATCAAAGTCTAATTTTCAATGTGAATGCTGTAAGGTCACAGTAAAACTTTTCTTCACGAAAAAATTTTGTTTTCGTAAAGTTACGTTATTGACTTTAGGTTCGATTTTATGCAAAACCTTTAATATGTCTGACTGAAATATATGCATATTTGAGAATAAAAGCTGTCACTAAAATTTGAACAAAATAAAATCTAAAATCTACTAAGAAAGAAGTTTGAAAAAGGTTTTTATATTACCTGAGAAAAGTGTTATCCCAGAGCCATAATAAGTTTTAGCTTATTGATCTCTAAATGACTGGCTACAATATTTATGCAAATTGCTTATAAACTGACAAACGTTGTCATTATGTTTTCTCCTGTAATACAACCACTACACTAAGAGAAAAGATGATAGGGTGCCGTATGTTTAATCTTAGATAGGTGAGACACTTTCGGAGGAGGCGTTTTATGTGTTTGCGTCAGTGTATGAGTGTTTCATTTGCACTTATCAGTAAGATAATGTATGTATGTGCATTAAGTCCTGGAACAACAACTTTAAGATGTGGTTTTGTTGCTCAAAGAGCGAGTCTACTGCACTGCAGTTCTTTCTCCCCTGATATACTGTAGTGAGACATGACCATTAAAGTAGAAGATATAAGACGGATGCAATGTTTTGGTCACAGGTATCTTCGTAGCATTGCTTGCTTTCGATGGAATCACCGTATGAGCAGTGTTGGGTTCAGGAGAAGGGTAATAAGCAAGACAGGCAAGCCAGTTGATAAGGTTGTGAACTTTTGTCGACTTCGACGGCTTGGACATGTACCGCGTATGTCTAACCACTATCTACCTCTATGTAACATGCTACAGGAAGTTGGATTAGGTTGGAAGATGTTTCACGGGGGCCACACCAAGACGTGTCACCAGTCGATGAAGTCCCAATCTGCTGGTCTGAGTAGTGTGGGGAATGTAGACTGTCTAGATAGGGTCCCCAAGACGACAGGAAGCAGTCGTAGAGGTCTCTTAATGACATGGCTCGAAATCGGTCACAATGGCACAGATGTAGTCACTCCTTGACGTCTTCTATAGCTTGGATATTCGCACTAACCTTTATCTTCAGTTTGTTTATTCTGTCACACAACTATGTCCACGTCGATATCACGCTCTTTCTATGCACTTGTTCTTTGTGCACAATCGCGAAGTGTGGCAGTTTGAACCGATGCACTTATATGCATGGTTCTATATTGATTTTGTCAGTAAGTTGTCAGTTGCTCAATCTGTAGCGTAACCAGCCGGAAATCAGGTGGTCGCTGGTTCGATTCTTGCCGTGGCTTGGGTTTTCACCTTACTTTCAATCGTCATCTAATAACTACTTAATAAGCCATAAGGATTACCTAGGTAATTTTTAGGGGCAACTCTTCGCAAATAAAACACTCCAGAACTTCAATCTGTGACTATTATGCATGTATGCACATCTGTTCAGATAGAGAAGA